CAGCTGTCCTGCGTCTGACCTCAAAGTGCACAAGCTTCAAACTTCAGCGTTGGCTGCGATTTTGACGCTGAAATCGCGTTCGGTGTGAACGCACCATAAGGTGTTTAGTTGAGTTTAGTTTAGTTTTAGGGTCAGGTGAGGTTAGCCTTATCACTCTAAAAATGAAATGTTGGATTTACTTAACCATGTTATGTGACCTGGTTCCACTTAACTGAGTTGAGTAAATTCAAAGCAACATGCTCATGTTCTTTGGTTAAAAAACTGGTATATTGCTTTGAATTCAATCAACTCAGTTAAGTGGAACCAGGTCACATAACATGGTTAAGTAAATCCAACATTTCATTTTTTTTACAGCGTAGGGTTGGGGTTAGGCTGTAGAAAATAATGGAAGTCAATGCCAGGTGCCCATAAATACAGCTGTACCAGATGGGGTGTGTGTGTGTGTGTTTGCTTTTAGTTCTTTATAGCACATTGTTGGACAGAGAAAAACCTGAATAATTAAAATATTTGCAGAGATAGTTTTATTTTGATCTCAGGACAGGAGGGGTAAGATCGAGCAGCAAAGACAGAAGTCATGAAAACCTGATGTTGGAGGTGAAAGTGTATGTCCCCCCCCCGTCCTCCCCTCCCTCTCTGTGTACAGCACTTGTCCCTCCCAGGCCACAAAGTGTTTGATTCGCTGCCTGGCCGTGCATATTAATGAGCAGGGGAGGCAGCGGGCAGCTTTTTAAAAGGCTGGAYCTGTCCTCAAAGACAGATCGGAACCAGGCTGGTTGGATCGCTCAGGACGCACAAACAGACAGACGGACTTTCAGCGCTCCAAACCGACTCCAACAGAGCGGGAAACACCTTCCCTCCGGTTCTTCAGTGGATCTAATCTTCTTGTGTGTTTTTCTTTTCCTTTTTTCTCTCTCTCTCTTTCTTTTTATTTTCTCGTCAAGGGATCAAACATTGAAGAACTTTAAGAAGAAAAAAGAAAGAAAATCATCATTTTTTTGCACTCAAACATGAATCGGTGCGCAGTTCTACTTCTCTTAGTGGTCTCCTTATATCTCCTGAGCGCAGAAGGTAACTTAAAAACACTTTATCACTTATAAGCACCTATTRTTGTTTACATTTTTAAGTTTTGCATTTATGATGTTGATAGAACTATGTGTTAACTAAATTATAATATAATGATGTAACTAATCAGCTGTAGCAATTAAAATGTTGAAGAGTTTAAACAATGATGAAGTTGATGAAACAGAAGTCATTTGTAATGATAATAAATCAAACCTAATGAGACTTGTTTTATGACCTGTTTGTGTTTGGAGGCATGAATCYAAACTAGCCTGGGAGTAAAAGTGATCCCAAACTGGCTTTCATGTTGTGAGACAAAACCCCTTCTAAAACTGAGTTGAGCTAAAATAAAAAAAGTTAAAAATTATCTTATGTTTTAACTTTTATTTATATATTTTTGATTATCAAAGATACTCCATTATCATCTTTTAGTGGCTAGAAAAAGGAGGGTAGATAAGAACTTGACTTCAGAAGAGTGTAAACATGCATTTTCTGCCTGTTTGTTTGCAGAAGCTGCTACAACCCCACCTCTCAGCATTAACCTGTGTGTTCCCTGTTTTAATAGCATTTGTTGTCCGGTGTGTTTGTCCTCGGCTCCACTGTGGCTTTTTTTCCTCGCAGATTTAGTGTTTGGAGGTCAGCGCAGATAGCCAGGTGATGGATTGAGGAAACCTTGGGACTATCTGGGTCATCGCAGATATACAGCCCAGGAAAAACCAATTTTCTCTGCTTCTTTATTCTGCAACATAGAGTTGTGACCGGCAGCTGGAGCTGAGAACCCTGACAAGTGTTTAGTAGCTTTATTTTTTAAAAAATGTGACAAAAATAGCCGCACATTATTGTTTACAGTGTGTTTGCRATCTTTTATGCTATATGTTTATGAGGAAAAAAAATTGCAAGGATGAAAGGGGACTTTTGTGGAATATTTATTCAGGATGAGCGTAACCGAGCAAAACAGCAATTTCATTGATTTTGTTTGTGTGCATGGACTTTGACAAATAATGCTGAGGAAAATGGATGATGATCGAACAGAAAATACTTATATGTAACTTGAAAATAAACTTTATTACCTATGTGTGCTTTTTTTTGACAGCCTACAAGTGCAGGTGCACCAGGAAAGGACCAAAAATCCGATACAAGGACGTTCAAAAGCTGGAGATCAAACCCAAACACCCCTACTGCCAAGAAAAAATGATTTTGTGAGTGACAATTTAATTTATTTTTGCCTTCTTATATCAGCTTTTGCTCGTAGCTCACCTTGATTCTCGTTTTCTCACCATTCCCAGTGTCATACCTAACATGAGTCAGTTAACACCAGTTACTGTGRCCTCACTTTCAGCTAAATGCAGGTTTTGAGCAGTTTATTCTGCCACCAGGGTTTAATTACTGCCCCACCTTTAGGAGGCGGGGATTCGTCTGCTKAAAGGGTGGGCACGATCTTCCAGTACCTTCCAGAACCGTCCAGGACCATCACCCTACTTTCACCGTGACACTGTGATTAATTCTCAGCTCTATAGTGCTATAATAAAGAATCCTCTAACCTTTTGYTGCTTTCCTGGTGTGCGCACTCACTCAAAGGTCGTACCTTTAAATTTTAACCCATCTGTCTGATCCATCCTCCCCCCCTGCCTCTCTGCCATCTGACTTTTAACCTGTGAAATCACAGCTCGGGCAYACAGACTGCTATTATGTTCAATTTGAGCCCTTGTGGAATGCAGCTTGAACCTCCCTGTTGATAACAGAGTCTCCTCTTCTGCAGATTTACACACAGACTTCGAAAAACACACGCCAGATGAAGATTTTTATATATACACTGTATGTATACATATATATTCAGTGATATTCACTGGTTTCTGTGAGTTTAAGGGGCTGGTAAAGGAGTCACGTGAGGCAGAAATGAGAGTTTCGTGGAATGCATTTGAAGTTTGGAGTCGGAGCTCCACATGGTGGGGTGGGGGGGCGGGCAGCAGATGGGAATGTTATGTCAGCCTCCAGGGAGTCTGTTTTGTGTTCAAGTCACAAACTCTGCTGCCACCTGCTGCCAAATTACAATCACACACATGGCATTAGCTGGGCAACCGCCTGGAACAGCTTGTGTGGATGTCTGCGTGTTCAGCAGTGGCGTCCATATATCTGGCATTCCCAAAATCTGGATGAAAGGTTTCTTCTGGCGTTTTTAAAAAAAGCCACTCGTTTCAAAAAGAGTATGAGGAAAATCTTGTAGATTMGATTTTGTGTCAACTTTTAGGCAAATTGACCAGTTGTATAAAGTAAATAAGTTTAATRACACACTTGGGAATGCAATAATCTCACAGCGTAATTAAGACCGTCACAGTGTCCCTGYGTGTTGTTCAGAAAACGGGTTGATTTTGCTGATTTTGAAGACGTGGTCGCACAACAAGCTTAGGAAATAAGTGCGTGTCCACTCAAAGAACAAATAAAAAGCACACAGAAGYGCTCTCCGGCTCACAGGGTTGTTTCAGTGCGTGTGTGTTACCTGCCACGCAGTCATCATTCAAGGCTGCTCTATTAGCATGAGATGGGGGGTGGGGTGGGGGGGCCACCAGCCGTGAGAGCCCGGTGAAAAATGAGCCTCAGCGGGCTCCGGAAAGCCATGGAAAGAATGAAAGCAGGAGAGAAATGAGTATGAGAGTCCCCCTCTCTGGGTGTTTGGCTTGCGGCTCTCGGTTTGGCATTCTGAGCGGCAGCTCCAAAGCACAAACACACACACACACA